TGGAGGTGACAGGGTTTCTGTCCCCATGCCTCCATGAGACACAGCAAGAACTGTGATCAGGCCGCAAACGCAACTTTAGGGTGCGAATCCATGTTGCAGCCTCTGCACGCATTACACGTGGCACCCGGAGCCACGTCGTGTGCCACGTGTATTGCGTGCAGAGGCTGCTCCTCATGGTTCATGTCCTCACCTCGTCAGAGATTGTATAAAAACCAACATACGAGATTTGGTCTTTGTATTGAAAATGAAGAGTCATCTACCAATGAAAGGTACGAAGTATTGAAATTTTAACCAATAAGACTAATGTCGGATAGAATTGTCGTATTCGCCAAGTTACTCATACATAACAGAGGTAGTAGTAGTACTATACTATAGTAATTAATATAACGTTATGAAACAAATGTGATACACGTTACAGTTCTCCTAGAATTAATACTGTCGGGAAGCATGCAACAGCAATGCCACGCCCCATCCCTCCACATCTCGACCACGTTGCCAGCCTCGTTCGCAGCAATTGTCCACCGCATCACACCGGCAAAACAGATTGGCTACCGACGTCGCTCCAAGTACTGTGCACTTACGACGATCCGGATAAGCAACCAGCAGTTACACAGTCGTGTCGGCTGTTTCCCACGCAAGTTGAAACCGTGGAATCGTTTCGCATCGTCGGTCCGTGTCGTAAGCAAGCACTCCGGCTATACTGAATCGACCATGGCTCAAGGACGGTTTGTGAACGCGATCCAGAAAGTGATGTCCATGTTTTCGGTGCAGGCGCGGATAGGTTCTGTTGTCCACAACGCGACCGAGGCCAAGCCCCATCGGTCGTTGGGGTGGAAGTCCACAGTCACAAGTTACACCCACGTGCCCGCGGCACCCAATCATCGCGTGGTGCTCCACGTGACGGTGCCGCTCAAACTTCGCGCGCAGGTGTTGAAGAAGCAGCTGCATCTGGTGTGCATCACCGCCGGTCCGGGAGGCATTTGGGTGATCGAAAAGATCACACCCGACGGCCGGGAGATCCAGTGCCGCAGCGCCATCCCCACCGACACGGGCACGTTTGAGTGGGAAGCTGTCGTCGACGGCGATAGCATGATTGTGAGAAATGTAACCACCGCCACCGTGCCCGTGGAGGTTGCGCTCGCGACACCGTTGAACTTTGAAAGTCGGCTCACGGTGTTTAGCTTGTTTGACGTCAACACGGTAGGGAAAACAATGAGCTTCCCCACTGTGAGCTGGTCTGGCTCGCAAAGTATGTGGGACAGTCAGTTCTAGACATCAAATTATGGGAGCAACCTCCACCAAACCTGGAGCGAATTGCTAGCTAGGATGCTGTGTTTGAACGATGGCGTTGTTGGTTGGAAAGGGGCTAACCAATTCTGAATTGTGCTGGATGATGGTAGGTGAGTCAAGTGTTTCGAGCCGACGCCCGACTAGAGCTGATGCTGCCAAATATCAGCCTCGCCAACGTCAAGCGCGAACACGTCGAGGCATTTCTGAGCGCTCTGGGGATCCACGAAGGCCACGCGGTGCAATTTTTAAATGTCGTCGACATCATCGGAGAGGTCGTCCACTCGAGTGAGTACGTGGAAAACGCGCTGCAAAGCGACACACACATGGACTATCGATTGATTTACCGCCTGCGCGCCATCTTGACGGGGCAGTTTGTGTTGCACGCGTTCCCTTTTGACCAGCAAGAGATGACGATTCCGATCCAGTTGCATTTGCCCAGGGAACGAGCCGTGCTGGCCGTCAACTACCGCAACCCGAGCATCTTCCAAGTGACCAACTTTCAGCTGTCGAACGTATTTCACGTGGCGACGGGCAACTACGTCGTGGCGTCGGCCTTTTTCAGCGACATCAACGAGAGCACGACCTCGGAAATCTACCCCCGCATGAACTTTTCCATCCTGTTGCAGCGGCGGGGTGGGTACTACATTACGCACATTGTGATTCCGGTCACGCTGATCACGTACATGGGGTTTCTGAGCTTTTGCCTGGACAACGAAGGCAAGACCATCGACACGGGCGAGCGGCTGCTCATCTCGGTCACGATGGTGCTCACGGCCGTCACGTACAAGTTTGTCGTCGCGGGCGCCATCCCCCAGATCTCGTACCTGACCATGCTGGACCACTACGTTTCGTTTAGTTTCTACTATGTGTGCGCAATCTCGGTGGCGAATGCGTTTGTGATGATCGGCCACAACGGCGAAAGCAGGGCGTTCCACGTCATGGTCACCATGGCCGTCGTGTACACGGCGTACAACGTGTTGTGGGCGATTTACTTTTACACGTGGATCCGGCGGCGAGACCGCGCCAACGAAGCCATGCTCAACTACCATCGGGCAAGTGCACGGAATCACAACCCCCCATACTCTTCGATGGTCGAGTCATATGATGATGACATTATTGCAGGTGCGATTGATGGTGACCAAAACGTTTCCCAACTCCAAGGAGGGGTTCCAAGGGCGCATGTTTACTGAAATGATGAAGGAACTGGGCATTGAAGAAGCCCACTTGGGCCATCGAAAAAAGCAACCCATAAACCACAAGGTCAGCATCTTGCATCCCACACACCACGCCATCAAGAAGATCCACCACTCGATTGCACAGAGCGTGTCGGGGCCTCAAGAGCGTCAAATAGTTGGCTAACCTACCAACTAAGAGGACACGTCCTGAGCATACATTTAATAGTAGCATCTGACTAACTGTAAATTAGACAAGTCGTTATTAAAAGTTAACAGTCGATGAACCTGTAGAAATGAATACATTTCGTGACCTTTCGAAAGAAGATACAGGATGTGCTGCTTTTCTTTCAGGAGTGAATGAGAGAAGTAGTAGGTGTATTGGCCAAATCAACCGAATGGAGTCGTACAGAGGTACCCCAGAGCCGCCGCAGTCCACTGAGGACGAAGCCATCCAGCGCCTGGCGGCTGAAATCTTGCATGACATTGACTCGTATGGAGCGGGCGATGAGGCCATGTTGACGGAAGACGGTGTCCAGCATCTTGTCACGGCCTATGTCGAGCGCAGCGGCATCATGTCTCCAGTGCTACCGCCGCCATATGGTGCTCCGCCAAGCCATGAACCACCACCACCACCGTCACCCCAGTCATCTTCAATCTCATCGTTCCAAGTCTACCAAACCAACGTTCAGCTCTTTCAGGTATCGTCACCACCAGGACTTCAGTTGAATGCGCTTTGCAGGATATGCGAAGCCAACGGGAGACTCAATTCAGCAAGCATTTGACGGCTGTCATCCAACGCGATCGGGCCAGTTCGAGTAGCAGCAGCAGCGACAGCGGGTCCTCGTCCGGGTATTCCTCTGACGACGACCACGAGGCCGACTCCACCCGACCGCCCGCCACCGTCGATGCCGCCATCCCACCCACAGACGTGGCGTGCCAAACCGACCAACTCGGCAATGTATCATCGGCCACAAAGGATTCGCCGAAGATTCGTCTGGAGTGTTCCCATCGAGATGCCCAAGTCCAAGCCAACATGGCGTCAGGTATCTGGCTTTCTTGAGCCAAAAGGAACTACAAAGTTATGTTTACCACCATAAACTCTAGAGTCTACTTCTATGGACACGTCATCGCAGGTTGGATCGATCCAACCATGCTGTCATTTCCCGTGCAATGTGTATGTGCAGTCCAAACGCGAAGCCTGCCACATGTCAAGTACGACGCACCTTTTCGCAATGTTTTTCACTTTTTTTCGCTATTTTTCGTCACTTTTTACGACTTTGTAGTTCAAACCAATCGCTTAATGCTAAAAGAGGTTGGAATCACGACATTGCCCTTGTCCGTGCGAGATTGTGGCACCGCTATGAGCCCCAAAAGCGCCTTTGTAGCCCTGTTAAAGGTACATACCGTAGCCCTTCGCAATTTGCGATTTCGCATTTGCATATTTCGCATTTCGCTCGAGCTATGTGGTGGTTTTGCCCAATGCGGAGGGGTCAAACGTTTGGATTGGCAGAAATTCGACATCACGTGATTTGATTGGCTCAGGCGGTTTTCTATTCAATTCTGCTGATTCGAATCGATTTGATAATATTTATTCCTTTACTATTATATTGGCGTTATGCTAGACCAAAGTGATGACCCCAGCCTCCAGTCCTCGCGATTTTGAGCTCGATCTGTCCAATTTGAACTGGCGCCTTCCTGCTGTACCGTAAAGTACTTGACGCAGCCCCAATTCCGTACATAATTCGAGCGTCGAACAAGTTGATTGATTGAGTGTAAGAGTGCTCTAACTACTGTACAGTGTACGTACAGTATGCGTCGAGCAGCAGAACTTGGTATTTTTACAAAACGTGGCGCAAATGTACACAAAAAACAACTTGATTGTTGTATGCACAGGTTAGAGCAACCCAAAGCCTTCGGATTGGCTGATGGCAATCAGCAGTCGCTCTTTTAACTTGTCCATACTCGAGTATTCCGGCAGCAGCAAATGGTTAAAGCATGTGTGGGCAGTGGGCAATCTACCACCATCGGTTATGATTCCCAATTTCATCCTTTTTATCCAAAATACACCCAAAATTTAGAGTTTATTCGTTCCCATAGGCTAAGAAACTCCAAATAAAACACATATACACATACTTGTCAACCCGTCTCGATACGGAAGTCCCAACAAGCAAAAAAAATCATAAAAAATGAGATTGTATAAATAGAATAAATTCCATCTAAAGCCAATTTAAATGGAAAAACTTACTTGTTCGAGTCGGGGCCGTTGCGGGAAATCACAAACGCCATCTCAGACAGCCCTCGGATTGGGACGCGGTCACTCCCAGTGCAAAATTTGAGCAGCTGCTTCTTCTCGTCCACGGTAAACCCGTGCACGACCGTCCAAAAGTACCTATCAATTGTATATCCATCCATTTCATTATATCCATATTTTATCCAAATACAATGTATATATATCATTTCTTATTTAAAACAAAAAAATACATATTCATTCCCTTGTTTAAACGACAGAAAATACGCCTCCTTATTTTTGATCCAAAACTTGAAGGTTGTATAAAAACACGCATTTAAAAAAATCCACCCATCCTCCCTTTCATTTTATTAAAAATGAAATACTCGGGTAAAAAAATACACTCGCAACACGTTGCGATTCAAAGCCATTTTAGCATGCACTTGTCATTCATATCGACACTAGTAATATATATATATATATATACAATATACATCGCAACATCGATTCAAATGTACATACATATATATACAAACACACGACCGAGTATCCAGATGCCATGAAACTTGGACGTGTCCGATATAACAAATGGTTTTATATATCAATCTGCCAGTAGTAAAACGTACTTGATGACGTCGCTGTGCTCGGAGAACCCGCTGTCGTACTGTGTCACAGATTCGAGGGCTTCGAAATCCAAGTCTGGCGACCCGCACAAGAGCAGTTCTAGCTCTTCGCAGCGGAATAGCGCCAGCGCGTGGCCACCGCACACCAAGTGGAAGCCGCGGTGAAAAGCTCCATATTGGCGCTCCACCGAGTCTGTCGTCACATACTGCACGTATTTGGCCACGTACTCTTCCCGGTTGAGATTTGTCACGTTGATCTGGCTGCCTACGGTATATCGCTCTTAGCACTATGTATATATAAATATATATATATATATATAGTTGTATCTATCAACTCGGGGTTTCAAAGCTCAATACATATATATATATATATCGTTAGACAAATTTCCCGATTTGGCGAGTTTGGTCAAACCAACCCATCATAAATCTCGCCGCGAAAGTATTTCATTGGCTTTTCCATTTCGCAGAAAGCACGTCGTAAACCGAAACAATAGTAGCCAATCAGCGACAAGGAGTTTCAGATTGACCAGTGGGAGCGATTCGTGATTGGTTTGGTCGGCATGATACAGTATCCGTACCAAATTGAATAGCATATATATATATACGTGAACTCAGGGTATTAAAACAAAGATTGAAGAGTTTCAAGGAGCTAAATCCAGTGGACATACACGCTTTCGAACCCATCATATGCGATGGATGGTACTACTTACAGGTCCATCATGGAATCCATTCCTTCGATAATTAATATATACCTTCGATAATTAATATATACCTTCGATAATTAATATATACCTTCGATAATTAATATACACCTTCGATAATTAATATACACCTTCGATAATTAATATATACCAAGTTTCAAGATGAATCCACTCTTTCCACAGTACTTGATCTTTTATTGTCAAACATGTATCCCAGACGTAAGAATTTTCCATTTTTCGTTTAATTCCTCCTAAAAAAATATATCAAAATTTTCGATAAACTCTCCCCACCACCACCCTACGTACCATTGGGCACCAAGTCGACGGTTTTGATTTCGCCAAACACTTGGTACGACACTTGAAATGACCGCTGGAACACTGATTCCACGTCTCCATCGAACGAAAGCAGCTGGCGCAAGCCGCGGCCCAGCGCCGGCTGGCTCGCTTCGACGTCCGACAGTGTCACAGATTGCTCCATGAGCTTCTTGTACACGAGCGGCGGGAAGTGCAAGTCGAGAATGACGCCATTGTAGATGGCCAGGCCAAGTAAGATCCCAATTAGCTCAAACTCCATACTTGATTCAAGTGAATCGCAGTTGAACCAGAGTGTGTGAGTGTCTTCATCTGACAAGAACATCCCAAAGTCTGGATCCAATAGCTGCCGAATGATAATCTACAAAAAATAGGATATTATTACTAGCATACATCGACCAATGAAAACAACCCAAAACATCACTCGAATTATCAATATATCCACCACTCTTGTCAACTATTCCACGTCGAATTAGTGTATGACTGACTGTAGAATAGTGTGATGTTGTTATGACAAGTCTGGGAGCACACACAGTTTGGCGGAAACGACGAACTACTCTATATACAAATGCGATTCAGTTTTGTACCCCCCATATATCAAAAGCTCGTATCTAGGTTCGAATATGAACGAAAGACGCTCAACGATTGGTCAAAATGGTTTCAAATTGACCAATCATACAAACCCATAAAAACGATGGAAATATATATATATATATATATATATATATATTCACTATGCAAACCAGCATGTGAAAAAGCCAAATATTGAGATATACCCTGACAAAATAGAATGAAAACCAACGAATTGAAGAATAAATATAGTAGTCATAATGATATTGCTTTTGTCAAAAACGAATTTATATTTACCTGAAAAAACTCTTTTTTCACGCCGCCTTCGTCGACCCCTTCTTCCCCTGCACCGTCATATATATATTTAACATCTCCATGTATATACAAATACTTTGAAAGCACATAAATATATATATATATATTCGTACCAATAAACTTGACTTTCAGTGGCTTTTTCAGCTGCTCCGAGGTCGCTTGCACGAGCTGCTGCAGCGCGTCCGGTACGACAAACTCGCGGCGCACGCGTAGCACCAAATATGGCATCAAGTTGTCCAGGGTACTACTAGTACTACTACTAGTAGAAAGCGTTTCGTGGGTAGTAGAGGTACTACTACTAGTAGTCGTACTAGCGGTACTCGCAAGCGAGCCATGCACGGTCCGTCGTTGCTGGTACTCGGCGTCGAAGTGCAGCACAAGGGATTTGGAGGCTGGGTCCAAAATGAACGGAAAGTCGCAAAAGCTCAACTCACTCAATTGTCGGGTACTTTGGTGAGTTGTTGGTCTGTGCTTTAAGAACACACCAGAGTTGGCGTAATCGGTGAGCAGATTCAGCTCCGAGTTGACCGCGTCGTTGTAAAACGCCGAAAATTCGCAAAATTTTCGGCTTTTTTCGTTGATCTCGTGCAGCAGACGCAAGAGATCGCACACTGCAAACAACATGTCCATCTTGAGCTCCGCCCCGACCAGCGCCAGCGTGATGAACTGGTGGAACACATCGAGGAGTCGATGTAAGTCGTCCTCCGAGTACCCAGCCCACCGCGCCAGCACCGCCGCCTTCATGCCGTCGTCCAGGAAGTACATGAGCTTGGCCATGCCACCCACCACCTGTCGGTACTCAGGGTCGAACAGCAGCGGATGCTCCAGCACGACCCAGAACTGATGGAGGTCGGTAGGCTGCGTCCATTTCTTGCTGTTCGACCAAGGCTGGTTCACCCACGACTGAAGGGCGTTGCCCATCGTATTGGCTAGCACAGGATGCGATGCCAACAGAGACAAGCCCTGCTGGATGTCGTGGCGAGAATGGCCAGGGAAGCACGAAACGTTCAAGTGATCCGAGTGAGAAAAGGTCTCGTACACAAGCGTTTGCATGTTCGAGAGGGAAAGGTCGTTGGACTGGAGGAGCGCTAGGGTCAAGGCAGGCGGACGGGGTGGGGGTACCAAAGCAGCCGAAGGGGCAGTGGTGGGTACCGCGACGACCCCAACTGGCGACGGCGCGACGACGACAACTGGAACTGGTGTGGCGGCGACGACTGCTAGAGGTGGTGCCGGTGGAGGTTGTGGTGTTATGATTACTGGTGCTGCCTGGAGCGTCGGAGGTTGGGCTGGGGGAGCGGCACTGCTACCAGTATTTGCAGTGGACGCTGTCGTGGCGTAGAGTCGAGTCAAGGCTTCCGCCACGGCGTCGTTCGGAGTCAACCCAGTGGCAATGAGTTCCATGTACATCTGTTGAAATTTCTCCTTCAACGCAGCGGCATCTTCTGCCGTCATGGGGCTGCTTGACGCCGCGGATGTCGACGGATCTTGACGTTCCATGGTCGTCGACTTTCGATTGTCCGCTTCTGGATTGCTTGTCCGGATAAACGTCCGGTTACCCATCAAAAGCCTAAGAATGCAACACCGAAATGGAGGGGGTGCGGGTGCGTGGCGACACGAGAGAGAGCCAATACCTATGGAATCCTACAGGTAACGTCTGCTGACGAGTCGAGAGGTTCGTGGTGGTAGCTTAGTCATACGACGGACGTATCGTGGCAGGTCACGCCGCGCACCACGTCCTTCCCACGCTGCTCCCATCAAGCATTGACTCGAAAGCACAATGGTTTACCACATTTATTACAAGGACATCACGGCGCGTTCCACCACTCCAGATATAATTAACACCTCAAGGGTAAGTGTAATAATCCCGAGCGTTTGCCAAGCAAATGCGAATGAATGGCTTGGCGCGATGGTATGTAGTTGAAGCAATCGTAGATGCGAATATGTTATCACGGCTGTACCATGTGGCCTTAAGTGTTGTGCATGAAGAAGGCACGACGTTAGGCATATGTTGGGAACCTAATACTAAGTAAAAACTAACTCAGCGGATGTGTTTGCATGATGATGGCTGGCGTGCTTCGTCCATGTGTCATTGGATTTGGTGGCCACCCTGTACGTAGGTTGCCCTGGGGGGGTACATGACTGAACCCCCCAAAGGGTTCACAATTCGTAATTGACAACATGGCATAGCCGTTCGTTGATCAGTTTGACAGGTTAACACTTGAACAACAGCATAGTAACATTGGCTGGTTTATTTGCTTCAAACTTGCTCAACGTGTTCTGAGCGTGATACAACGAGGCTATGATTGCGGTCACGGTGTATTAGTCCGCTCGGACTGTATTAGTCCGCTCGGACTGTATTAGTCCGCTCGGACGTTACAGTTATGAAGGCATGTTGTGCGAATTGCCAATTAGTATAACGTTACTACTGTAGTAACATTTGTGTAACCGGCGCAGTATTTTACGCAATTGTTTCATTGGTTGATTGTGGCCAATCAAACGTCACATCCCCTGGTTTCAAAACCCAAAGTCACATACCAAGGTACTAAAGTATATTATTAATAGTGTAAGTATTAATACTTACTACGTAGTAAGAACAGTTACCAGCGTCAGCTCGCTCCACCAAATCATTAACCTCCTGATGGGAATAAACAGCGCAAGACATTTGAGGATCGTAGAACGATTAATGCACCGATCGGGATGCGGTTGGTCTGGGGCGGACGAGCCTGGCGTGCACCTTGATCTCATCTCGACCTTCCACCTGGCATGCGCCAACAAGTCGCCGTCGCTACGCGGGATGGCATGCATTCCAGATCATATGGGCAGCTTCGTCCCTCTTTCTCTTCCATCAGGCAGAGGCCTTTCGGTGAATTCCGACGGTTCTAGAACTGATTGTACCCAAGGAGGGTTGACATTTAATACAAACTTCGTGACATTTTCGAGTTCAGTACCCCCAGACTAATTACAAGTCCCATCAGGTAGAAAATAGTGTATATAGGAATCACACTATTTATGGAACCATCGCACGTTTGAAGTCTCAGTTTTAACGAAGCATCACATTATTTTTAGTAAGTCTTACACTATTTCAAGTTTTCGTCGTGGGATAAGCGTCGTCCCTCCGCCATGAGGTTGCTTTGATTCGAGGGTTGGCATTGAGAGATTGGAGCAGAACTACCAAGCGCACATGTCCACCGCTGCGCGCCGACGATTAATGCGGGATTTCCGCAAGCTGCAGAACGACCCGCCTTCGGGTGTGAGCGGGGCCCCGTTAGACAACAACATCATGGTGTGGCAAGCAGTGATCTTCGGCCCAGACGACACCCCGTGGGAAGGCGGGACCTTCAACCTGCTTCTCGAGTTCAGCGAAGACTACCCCAACAAAGCGCCGTCCGTCAAGTTTGTCACCAAGATGTTCCATCCCAACATCTATAACGACGGTCAGATCTGTCTGGACATCCTGCAGAACCAGTGGAGCCCCATCTACGACATCTCGGCCATCCTCACCTCGATCCAGTCGCTCCTCTGCGACCCGAACCCAAACTCCCCTGCCAATTCCGAAGCCGCGCGGCTCTTCCAAGAGAACCGACGAGAATACAACCGCCGCGTGCGCGAAATCGTCGAACAGAGCTGGGTCGCGTTGGAGTAGACAGCAGCAACGATACTACGGCGCCATATTATTCCTGTCGTGCTGCTCATTTCAACTAGATTCGTGCATAGGCATTTTGGGAATCAGGGTAATATTATCAATTGTATATTTCTCCATTGTGCCCCATATATCCACTACTCTCTAACCTACGAACTCCACTTCCATGCGTAACACTGTACTGCATCGCATACTCTCCATCATACCAGGAACAAACGCCAGGTTGATCGGGATTAGTTATATTGCATTCGAGAGGTTCGGAATCTACATACCTCGAAGTATTAATACAATTTACAGAACGTGTTTATACAGGTGTACTAGTTTATAGAGTATTTTGGAGGTTACCTCAAAACTTTTTATGGTGCACGGTTTAAGCTTAAAGTATGTAAACTCTGCTTAGAAAAAAGTCAATTCAAGGCAACGATGAAATACTTGAATACAGTAGAATGCCCAACTGCAGAATTCAAATCCCGGCCCTGAGAGACGAGTACGCTGCATTCAACCGTTAGTACTACTACTAGTATGTACTAGTACTATTTTCTAGATAACTCATTTACTCATCGAATCAAGCAGTTTTGTCGCGAGTGTTGGTCATTTGTTAAACATTAGTATTCTAATTGTTAATCAAACTCGCCAAATGGAGCGGTGGAGTTGTCTTGAATGGCCTCGACCAGTTGGTTGGACGAGACCATCACCGGATTGAAGTTGGCCGACTCGCTCGTGCCGATGCTGGCGAGCGGGACGTCCGCGCCGAGGTCCCGCAGCGCCGCATATGCTTCGTCTCCGCATCCTCTCAACGGCAGGGCCGCGCGCAGCTGCCGCTCGACATCTTCCAGTACGATCGGCCGCAATTGTTCGTTGCGGACCACCATGTTGCGGATGGCCAAGCTAGCTTGTCTACACTTGGTGCCAATATATATATATGGTTGTCCCCACTGTTGTTAAGACAATAATATGTACCGCAACATAGCAACGTTATCAGGGAAGCCGACCATCGCGAGCCCGATGGCCTGATGCGCGTGCATTTGCACCGCTCTGTCGCAGTTAGCTGGAGATCGCAGGCAAATGGCGGCGATGGTGGCGCACCCCAATGTCTGCAGGTACACTTCGGTCGGATGCTGCTGCATGATGGATATGATCCACGGAAGGTTCGATGAGGTTACAACTGACTTGTACTCGTCCACGGCCGCCAAGTTGCGCAATAAACCCAGGCAGTGGGATAACAACGGTCGATGCTATCATGAATACAAGATATTCCACTTGTCAGGATTTATATATATTAAATATATACGTACATATAGTGCAAATATATGCAAAATCAACAAAAGAATAAAGACGACATGTGTGGACACAATACAAATAAAAAGAAGCAGTGGACCGTCAAGGATAGAATCATATATATATATTGTACGAGGAAAAACATATAAACCAATATGACTATTACTACGTAGTAGTTTGTGGTGAATATTCAAGAATATATTAATATATATTAATATATATATATATATATGATGTAACAAAGGATGGATATATTGCAAGATAGATTGGGATTTTGACAACACAACAAGTGGCCATAAACTGGTCCACGGCTAGAATATATATATAGACAAATCCAACAACACCGCCATCAAAACATAGAAATGAGCCCAAAAGTGATACTATCTAGGAAACATCAGGCAATACATGCGCATGATGCTGGAAGGTCGGGAGGAGGTCCAAAATGCCCGCAGCCACTAGCTTCCGACACGTGTCCTCTGTGATGGCCAGTTGCTTGACCACAGCAAGCCACGAAGACAGGGTATCTGGGTCACTGGACACCCCCCGGAGGTACGGCAGCACTGCATCGATCACCCCATGCTCCACAAACAACTTGACAATGTCATGTGTCTGCGAAAACATGGAAGTTCTACGCAACGACCACACGATTACATGTATAAAGTGGTGTTGCCGGTCTTGACTGGATATATATATATCGACACAGACGCAAGTAACACGACGTACGTGTCGTCGTGCAGGGTGAGCACTCGAATGACGTCGGCAATGTCCTTAGTTCTCCCTTCTGGGACCATGGAACGGTCGCGGAACAGCACGACAAGCCTCGCGATGATTCCGTGCGACGTCAAGCGCTTCTTGTTCACTTCGTTCTTGGCGCAAATGCATTTCAACGACGAGAACGCGGCCGTCTGGGTGTCTGCATGCGATGACAACACCCCAACGTCGAAGATGGCGGCGACTCCTGCGTCTCCCACAAGCAGTTGGTTCGACCGATTCCCAGACACCTATCGTTGGATTGAACTTCCAGGAAGATCTGCGAACGACATCGTACCATGGACTGAAGCGTGGATAGCAACAAGATGCGCGTGGCGACGTCCTGTACGGCCGGCAAACGTTGCAACAAGATCGTCGGGCCATTGATCTGTCCCGCCAGTTCCTTGGCCCCGCTGCTCCCGACCGCATCCTTGAGCTGGTCCTGCAACGCGACCAACTGCACATGTAGGCACGTCTCGTCGTCCGACTCATCGGCCTCGATCACCTTTAGCGCGGCAAGCACGGGGTGCACGACATCGAGGGCCTTCACGATGGTGCTTAGATCCACCCCCTGGGATTCGAACTGCGTCACCGCGTCGGCAATGGCATCTTCCTCTATCATATCGAACTCTTCCATGTTCTCTCGCACGCATTCGTTGAACGTTTCCTGCGTAATGTGCCGCTTCGCGGCCCCTTTTGTCGACGCCGTCATCAGCGCTAGATTTCGACAAGGACTTCGAAATAAGATACCCTGTATCATCTAATATGCGCTTGATGTATAAACTCAATTAAACCTGTGTAATCGAATACCATGGTCCAATCACAACAATTCTCCATTCTGATTGGGTAAACGAGTCGCGATCTTTTACATCACATGTTTCAGTTGTCCATTGACCAAACGCCCAGAGTTTGCACTTCACCTGTCGAGCCACAAATACGCGACCACCAATCAGTCGCATGACATCACGCCACTACGAGAGAAGTCATCATGACGGGATAACGTCATTCTGTATGCCTAAATATCGTGGACGTTCGATGGAGTGCCGTCAACGGCGGGAGTTCCCATATAAATTTGTAGTAGTACTACATAGTACTACTGTAGTAGTATAATTGCCTCAACATTTCCTGTTCAATTAGCGAAGTGTACGTACTAACTTACTAGTAGTAGTACTGTCTGTACCACTACCCCTAGTTCCACTCTGCCATTTGTGTAGTACTGCTTGTTTGGATGTAAATAGTAATAATTGCTAATTTAGATAACCAAGTTCCCACTACGAGACAAGCTGGAGGTCTCGCTGCAGCATCTCGGCGCGGCATTGGTTTCTGCGCAGCACGTCCATCGTGTTTTGCATTTGGCGGTTCAGTTGCATCAGTTGCTGGGCCACGGGGTGGGTGTAGCTAGTACTAGTACTAGTACTAGTAGTAGTACTAGTACTGGGAAGGGTAGTAGGAGTCGTCGTCCCTTTATACACGACCATGTCCCGAACGCTAATGTCGAGGCCGCTGTACACGCTCACGACATCGTCTTCATCGTCGTCGTCGAAATCCAAGATGGGCAAGTGCATCATCGTCGTACGACTAGTACTAGTACTAGTAGTAGTAGTAGTACTAGTAGTAGGCCGACCATTCCGACCCGACGATTGCGACAACACGAGTTGAGTCTGCGATCCGTCCACGGACAAGAGGTCGCTGCTTCGCCCCGACGAGGAGTGGTCGGCTTGGGACAAATGATCGTCCAGATGGGACAAACGCACCAATTGGTCCAAAAACGCCACGTCCACATCAACGGGAGACGCGTTGGGACAAACGTTGGGGTCTTGGGCCAAACGTGGTAGACGGGATTGCATTTCGGAGAACGGCGCCAAGGGCATGGTCGGCGCAGGTCGAGGTCGAATGATAGGCCCAAGCGGAGATGGCGGCGACGTGGCGGAGCTTGGGGACGTGGCTGGCGGCGTTGCTGGCGGCATTGCACATGCGTGGCAAAAGAACTGGGCGACGATTTTGATGCCTGTCGAGCCGAGCAAGTTGACTACGCGGTGCTTTTGCAGGCGGTCCGACTTGTGGTGGCACAGCGCGCATTCTCGCGGGAATTTTCGCAGAAACTCGGGAACATTCCATGTCGTCGAGTTGTCGGCCGTCATGGGATGCCGGAGAAGCAGGGCATTTGAGAGCCGAATCGCCGTGGCCACCTCGGCCGCGGCCGCGATACTCACAAGGTGCGGGAACGTCGTCAGGTCCGGCGGCATCCACATGGTCGACGGAGACGCGTGGCTTCCGAGATCGATGGAGCAGTGCGACATCACCAGTGTACACCCGATGGGCAACGTGCGGAACACGTGGCGAAGGGACACCTTGACGCGCTTGATGGAGAACTGGTCGAGTGGCGGGCAGATCGCCGGCAGGTCGATGGACTCCATGAGGCAGTACCCGTACTCCATCACATGGCCCTGTGCGTCACTGGTGCGCGTCACGCCTGTCGACTCCAAGTAGCACAAGTCGCGATGTTTGCTCGCCGAAGGCCACTTCGTCGCTCCCCATTTGAGTCCCAGGAATCGAAATTTGTCGCTAGTACTACTACTAGTAGGGCTGCTAGTAGGCAGTGGCACGATTGTATGGAGCACTTCGCAATCCAAATGCTCCTTGGGCATGAGGAGCGCCGAGTTCATCCGGAAGGCAAAGCTGTTGTCGGCGCTGAGGCAGGTCATGATGTCGTCCATAGTGCCGGAGACGATGCCTGTCGCCATGACCTGCGCCGCCGCTCCTCCGAATGCGGTCGACGGGTGATGCGTCGACTTGTACACCTTGAGACTGCTGGTCGCGACTGGGATAGTCCGCACATACTTCCAATGGCTGTCCATGTCGATCAGCGTAGTTTCGCATTCGGCAATCGCACGACCGAGCAGCCGTTGGCTCAAAGCCATGTACTGCGCTTCGTCTTCCGGGGTCAAGTGGCAGGCTGGGAACCGCGTGGAGGACGTGGACAGACGACGGATGGTGGGGTTCGGTCGCTTCATCAATGCGAGGACGTCTGGATATGAAGGAAGGGAATGGCGACGACGTCCGCGGGGGGTTGTTCGGTAATGCCCCAACGTTGTGAAAGTGGGCGCTATGAGTTTGACGAACTCTTGTGAAAAAGAACCCACCCACCCACCCACGCGCTCGACGTAGACAGTCCTCGTCGTTCGAAGTTCGCCATATCAAGTGTGGTGGGGACGGGAGCTGTCCCTACGGCGGGAGTCTGATCGCTGAGATGCACTCACGTAGGCGTCACATGCACACAGTGGCAGTCGTGAGCTCCATTCAGCTCCTTCCTCAGGTAGAGTTGACCATGTGGAGGTGGCCCATCGCCCACAACAGCACGTTCGCTGGAATGGAGCCACGTGATTGGCTAAAGGCACCCATCGGATTATCCCAATGTCCCACTTGTGTTTTTCCCAAGTCGATATGCTACGTGACTTAAGCCGTTGTAAAACTCTCGGAAGTTGCCGATGTGGACGACGGGAGTAGTAGTAGGTAGACACACTCGTACGTCGTACATGCACTTGCTTGGACGGTGAATCATCCTGACGAGAGTTGGCATGTGTGTACATACCGAGTTGGAAAGCTACAAAACCAACGTGTGGTCGTCCAATTTCATTGATCTTATTGAGTACTAGTACGTACTCCGAGTATGTACTTACTAGTACTGTAGGTAAACCAACCAAACTCACACCCTGGAGCTGTCACAGGACTAGCAACACATGGGATTCGTGACACGGCTTTTCAGCGTAAATTGACGCTTTTGTCGGTTGGTGACAGCAGCAGGCAGGGCTGCGGCACATACTACGTGAGCGCATGCAGGTCATGGCTGACTTATTGTCCGCGGCACGTGTGCAATGGAGACTTGAGATGTGCTTCAAACAAGTGGGATGTGGAACAAACTTCACGATGTCTCAACCCAAGGCGTCAGCGTTCTGCAATCCACCCACAAGCGCGCAATTGTTGATGCCTGTCTACTTTTTACTGTATGTAGGTACGGTTGACAAAATATCAGTTGGACAAAGCTATGGGCAATAACGTTTCCAATATCTCACCATAAATCGAATCGGCCTTGTGACTGCGTGAGTTTCTTGTTGCGATCGCGTACTAAGCTTAGTACTGTACTGGTTCTCATGTACTAATTCCCTCTTTCGATTCGATATTATCCAAGTCACATATGCTTATACGGTACTATGGTGGTAGTTTGCATTTACAGACACTGTAGCTGGCCACAGTCAAGGCTTGGCCGATGTGATGACTATTATTGAGCAGCCTAAAAGGAGTATTTATTGCTCACACAAACTTCAAGCCTGAAGGTATTTCCCATAAGTCCCAACCACAGCCACAATTGCTACCGGTATATAGTATTAATAAGTACTGGTATTAATAATACTGAGAACTACTGCCGATTCCATAATTGTATTTAAATAAAATATGTCACCATTATTTCGTCGCTCCACATACAACAACATAGTACAACGTGTCAAGACTGTGTTCCAACTTCTATTAAAATACCAGGGTACTTTTCCATAAATCAATCTCTATGTAAATAAGGTCCGAAGCCGCCCTCCTACGTCGACAATGTGGGCGGCGGCCCTTGCAAACTGGACATGCGCAGTCGATTCCTTCGCATAATGTCGACCGTGTTGTCCATTTGGAGGTTGAGCTGCAGCAGCTGATGCGCGAGAATCGACGGTGAGATCGCTTGATCGCTGCTGCCGTGGCTGCTCCGTGGACTGCCGTCGTGCCGCACACTGTTGGACAGCATCGAGTAATGAGAATGACTGGGCGACGCATGTTCGTACAGCACGGCGCTGTCCTCCGTGCCGCAAAACGACGTCGAGTTCTCCGACAAACAGGTCGACCGGTAGTCGAAATCCAGACCGCTGTACACAGACTCTTCCGCGTCGTCATCGTCAAAGTCCAAAATCGGCGGCGGCATCGGCGCCAAGTCTTCGTAGATCGACGACAGCTCCGACATGGCGTCAGATAGGTCGTCGCTGTAGATGGTCGCGCTGGACGGCTTGCTCACCATCGAGTACGTTAGCGGCTGTAAAAATTCGGTCGATTCCACATTCTGGCGCTGTTGGGACAAACACACTGGGCAGAAGTACTTGGCAGCGGTCTTGACGCCGCCGCCGACGACCGCTTCCACGATGCGCTTCTTCTCCAGCTTGAATTGGCCGCCGTGGTCACACAAAGCGCAGTCCGAGCCGCGGTTGAACATGGAGAGTCTGTCGGTCCATTTGGTGTTGCCAGTTGTCGACTGGGTAGCAGTTGTCGATTGGTCATGGATCGCCTTGGACAAGCGAATCGATTCGGCCACTTCCACCGCGCGGGAAATGGACAGCAGATGCGGCAGCGTGCTGAAATCAGTCATCCAAGACGGAAGCGTGCCCGATGGATCGACGGTACAATGGGTCACCACCATCGTGCACCCCAAGGGCAGTTCACGGAAGAGATGTCGAATGCTCATCTTGGCTCGGACGATGGAATACATGTCCAAGTGCGGACACTGCGGCAGCTCGATCGATTCCATGATGCTGTAGCCGTACTCGAGAAGTTGGCCTTGCGAGTCGCGTGCTTGCGTGATGCCGGTCGTCTCAAAGTAACACAGGTCGCGGGTCTTGTTCATGGTACCCCCCGGCCACTTGGTCGCACACCACTTGATCCCGTTGAAGCGAAACGGATTCACGGTGTTGTCCTTGGTGTTGATTGCATGGAGCACTTCGCAGTCGAGGTGTTCCTTGGGCATAAGCAGGGCCGAATTCACGCGGAATTGCAAGCTCGTGTCTGCGTACATGCAACTCATGATGTCGTGCAGCGACCCACGGACGATCCCCGTTACCATGAGCTCGGAAGGAGCTTGCGACGACGGCTTAGCCTTGTACACTTTAAGTCCTTGATGCAGCCGCACAAACTTCCATTGCGCGTCCACATCGGCGAGGGTGCGTTCGCAATCTTGGATGGATTTGTTCAGCAGCGCCGACGCTTGGACCCGGAATTGTTTTTCCTGCGCTACGGTCAGCGGCGTGAGGGGGAACCGACTGCTGCCGGTGCCACTACCAGACGACGACGACGCCGACGAGTGCATCGTTCGTTATGTGAGATCTACCGAGGAAATTGTCGAATGACGAAATTCATGAATCGAATCACACGTTTGTCCCGCCTCGGATTCACACGTTTGCCCCAAGTGTTCGAAATGTCCCATCCGGATAAACATGAACCGTGCCAATTCTCAGAAGCCGGACTTGCCGGTTTTCCCAGAAATCCCCCAGCATACTGTAAATACTGTATGTGCCCGACGTTTTTCTGACGCCGAAGTCAAGGTTGTACAGTACTTAGGTGCTGTAGTAAGTTATACTACATACTATACTTTGAAGTATATTATTGGCTGGCAACTCCTAACAAGTACTCCAGCCTGCTGGAGTACTTGTTAGAATAAATAGCCTAGAATTATCATGTTGATTGGGAATAACAATTCAACATGATTATTCATTCCCAAGAAAACATGTCAGATCTTTGAAGCCTTCAAAAGATGCGCGATGGTTGTTTGAACGTGGTGGTGGAGCTAACGCTACATTTCTATTGACGAAATACGTGGTGAACTGAAAACACCTGTAACATCACGAAAGAGTTGGCTTGAAATTACTACTAATATGTACTAAGGTAGTACTACGAAGTACTAGTACTACTATATAACGTTAGTACACATGTACGTGCGTGCTGACGAAGAAGCTGTCAGAAGGACTCATGCGGGTTTCGATATTTCATCCAAGGGACGTGATAACCGTTACATCCAAGCTTCTCATTTCGACTTTTTTGCCGATTTTTTAGAATAACACGTTATCATTATTGGAATGTTATTTGTAACTCTTAGCTCGAAAAGTACAATTTGTTGGACAGACTTTTGCCTCGACGTTAGTATTTTTTAGCGCTCCATTTCAAAAGGTTACTGTAACGTTATTGGTAATTCGATTTTAAAATGGACATCGAAGAATCGACGAACCAAAATAAATCGACGCAGTACTCGACGGAACGAAGTAGCCAATGAAATTTCCGAATAAAAGCCTTTCGACCAATCAAATTGCAGGCATATCCGGTGCAATGAGTCACAGTGAGTATATTTAGTTCAAGCAAAATGACGCTCGACGATTTCAGGTGGATTTGACGTCGTTCTATCGAAAATACCAAATTTAGCTCGAAAGCCCTATATCAGTGTTGTTATTTGTAGCTCGAGCGATGGCCAAGTGAACTTATTACTGATTCCGACTACAAATAATAGAGGGTTGTGTTTTCCATTGCATTACAGAATTCGAAATGATGTGTGTCAATGCTTCTTCTTGAGCTTGTCGAGGGCGAGTTCCCGTTGTTGGATCATTGCGATGCGCATGGCACTGTGTATCCGCCGCTCGATGGCGCGGACGTCCTGGGGTCGCATGGCTTCCGACCCGCGCTTGTACAGGCACTCCTGGGGCCAGAACCCGTCCGGATTGGCCGCATCCTCGGGGGTCGTGAGCGGTTTCGAGCGCTTCCGTTGCCGAGACACGTGGGTCGGGATCGCAGCAACGAGCTCAGCAACTCGCGCGGCCGGATCTTGTAACGACGACATGTCGTGGTTGACATACGGGTTGAAAATGTACCTACCCCACGTCATTCACTCCCCTTCAAACCACTAGTAGTACGCGTCGTACCCGCCATTGATATGCAACAGCACCGACTTGGCCTCCGCCAACGGCATCCACTGCGCCAGACCCCCTAGTTAGTAGTTGTACCCATCACTCTCAAATTGACCAATAGAATGGCAAAACAAAATACATTTCGACCAATAGAATCGTATGTTACCGCATATCGTATCCGGATGCTTTTCCATGTTGCCGGGGCTGGCGGCGGCAGTGTTGGCCCACGGCGAGAACGAGTACGGGACTTGGGCGAGCTCAAAGGCGAGCCAAAAGAGCTCCTTGTCCCCGTACGAGAAGTCCAACGTGTACCGAGTGTGCATCACCAGATGGTACAGCACGTCCATGGCGACGGATGACGTGGCGCCTTTGTTTACGACGACGATGGACGAGTCTTGTTCGTGGGCAGAGTGCTTATTCCAGGCTAACGTGCGTTCAAGGTATTTGGATGGGCGTTTCATCAGGTGGAACTGGGCATACTCAAAGGTGTCGACGAGCACGTGCAGGTTGAGCCTACCCAAACAATGTATATATATATATATTGTGGATTCGGTACAAATATTTCGAATCACGAATCGACGCTATTGGCGAATCCAATTTTGAGTGGATTTGATTGGCTCTTACAGAAAGAAGCACGAGTATATTCAACCAATCAGAACAACTCGAGCGTGATTGACAAACCACGCGAAAGTTGCAAGTTTAATTCGCCGAATTCACAATATATATGGGTGGTTTGAAGCAAGTTTCAAGGTAACATCCAACAATATCACGTCCACAGCGCGAAATGAAAATATGAACCAGCTTACAGTTAACGAACGGTATAATAGGTTGGATAATAGAATGACAACTACGTATATATATATATATATATATATGTATATATATAATATACATAAATCCACAGCACGAAATGATAATAATCAGCATACTACGTAGTATAAGGCGATATATTTTGGTTCATGCAATGACAACTAGGTGTATAAATAAATAAATATACATATATATATATATATATATGTATACTCGAACAATACACAAGAAATAATACAAGCGAATATATGAATCATAGGTTGGATACAATACAAAGACAACTATATTAATATATATATATATATATATATACTCGAACAATACACGAGAAATAAAACTAGAGCGTGGACATTTAGATGTCCATTGATTTCGACATATGGCTGTGTATATGGAGAGTACACGTACATGCGCTGGAATCGGTGGACCGACCAGTTGTTAAGGTATTCGGCTTTCGCTACTTCGCGGTCGTAGAAGAACACTGTGCCCGTCTCCTTGTACCTATTCTCGCAAACGATGTGAAGGAATCCCTCCTATATATTTGAAGGAAGTCCTCCCATATACCCCGGAGTTTGCCAGAGCTGACTTGGGTCGTGGAACATGAGGTCGTCCGCGTCCAGAAGGATCACTTCCGCGAGCCGCGTGTGCACGAGCGCCAGTGGCTTCAACCAGAAGCTGCGGAAGTCGTTTGCTTTGGCCGCAGGAAGGCGCCCGGACGCAACAAAGTCTTTGCACACGTCTACGATCTCCAGCCGCGCGTCCAGCATGTACAGGATGCGGTGGGACGCGGCCGAGAGTTCGCCGTTGCAGTGATACATTTGGATCAGGTCCGTGTTGCCCAGCGCTCGGAGTTCCAGCACCAACGACGCCGCCATGGGAATCATCGCGTCGAACACACATACGAGGATGCCACGGCGAATCGACGAGAAGTCGTGGTGGCGCTGGATTTGAACGAGCCATTGGTCTTTGCTGATCGACTCGTACACGTCCTTGCCATCCTTCATGGCGACGGCCGATGTACTGATCATGCAGATGTACACTACGAACAAGCACATGATGCATGTGCCAAGGAGAGGCATCACGCGTGTCCGTGCTAAGTACCGCTCCGTTGCATGCCGCGACGACATGAGCATGGTGGCGGCCAGCGCTTGTGCAGTGGCGGGAGTATTGGATTGGTCTACTATGTAAATAGTGTGCAGTATACACTGTACTACTGGTACTCCGGAGTAACAGTAATTCAACATGACTTGTGATTGGCTGCATATATTGTCGTTTTTACCCAAAATTTGGACTTTTGTGCTAAATCTAGATCGATTCTTTGTACTGAAATTTGTATGTAAAAGGGTGCCTGTTGTGATTGGTATCACATTAATTAGATGTCGGTGATGGACCACCGACACACAATCTAATTGGCTCTATACTTCTGCCCCAGCACTCGGACGTCTAAAGTTCGACATATTGTTGTGCTTATTCTAATCTGGAGCGACATAGAGAATTAATCGACTCAACCAAATGTACACAAGAATCGGCAGAAGTATTTAGCCAATCAGATTGCAGGAAACCATCACCAACATCAAATTAGTGTATGCAAGAAACTAGTGTGATTGCAATCACAAGACAACTTTTTACATACAAACTTCAGTACAAAGAATCGATCGATGGATTTCACGGACACCACAAAAGTCCAACCAAATTTTGGGTAAAAGGACAATATGCGAAGTCCGCTAGGTGTAGGCGCAATAGATTCCTTAGCTAGCTGATAAACGCGAATAAACGTTACTACAGTAATACTTCTGTCAATTCTTGTGTACTCCGGAGCATTTGGTTGTGTCGATTTATTCTCCATGTCACTCCAGTTTAGAATAAAAACTACTGGTACAATATTGTCCTTTTACCCAAAATTTGGACTTTTGTGCCGAATCGCCAAATCTATCCATCAATTCAATGTAAGACTTACTGAATTTGTATGTTTGGTGTCACACTAATTCGAAGTTGATGATGGTTCCGGCAATCTGATTGGCTAAATACTTCTGCCAATTCTTCTGTACATTTGGTTGTGTCCATTCATTCTCCATATCGCTCCAGGTTAGAATAAACACTTATGACGACATGAATTATAGCCATATCGTTAACGTGTTTACAGTTATGTACGTACTAGTATGGGCGCCGTTCCGTGACAACTTGGTTCCGTGCCACGATACATGATTGGTAGAAAAGAATCACTCTGAAATTTTTCAGCCAATCACCTGCAATTTTTGATAGGTAACTGGTTAAAATCAAGTGGCTCGGAACTGTTTTCAGCCTACTACTACAGTATGGATATTTCCACTCTTTTAATTCATTTTCCATCAACACTTACTGTTAATACGAATTGGTCGCTCGAATATATTCTGGACTCCCGTCTCTCGTGATTAGACATTGCAACTCCACGAGGGGTACAGTAACGTTGAGCTCACTGACTGGTTTCGCCCCTCGAGAATCTAAAGCAATTGATATGGATAATCCATCTACGGGGAGCATGCGCGAGTTCAGTTCCCTAATTCTAGTGGGTACGGACATTGGATACTTTAGCACCTATTTGAATGCCGTCAAGAGTCAAGTCATGGTGATCGGTGTTTCAACTCCCCGGGGTAGTTTTTCATGTGGGGGTATCGGGTACTACTGTAGGACCGAGGGAGAACGAGGGACTTGAGTTGGTTAAGATGGTCGCTGGCGGGGGTAGAGCGTCAATGCCAATGTGGAGCAACACATTCGTACGTTGCCACGGGAGCTGCGTCGACGCCGCCCAAAGTACTGTAGCCCCGCAAGGACATTCTATTTTGGCAAGTTACGACGGACTGGATGGTCGCTAAGTTTCAAAGCTGTACGATGTGACGATGTTCAACGTCTCCGTCCCCATTTACTGGTGCACGAACGTACAGTAGTCATGACCGCACAGCAAACGGTGACATGTAATCAGGCGACTGTCGGGTCTGACGTTGCCTACAAGTTGTTTGACACTTCCCCAATGGTAAAGCTCGACACGTCACTGCTGCGCGGTATCCTCGCAAGTTTGTCCAATGTCGACCTGTGTGCCCCCCCCCATGTGTCCATGTTCGTCGGCCAACGCGCCGCACGCACCCGTTCACACAAGGGTGAAAAAGTGTGCGGCATTCTACACTAAAACAAAGTTGGGTTCCGACCCCCAAAACACGATATCTTTGTGGGGGAACGTAGTTGCCAAGCGCGTTGGCGTGAAGTTCTACGCCCTAACGTTGCGTTAATGGCACTGTAGACGGTATCATTATGGGGACAAATGGTGACCAAGCGCTTTCTTCGGGGTGTCAAGGCGCCCGGGGGGGGTGACTGGAGTATGTATCGACCTTGGATACAATACACTAACTTTAGTATACACAGTGAAGGCCCCACGATGACTGCCAACACCAGGAACCATCGGTGAGTAACCAGCACATACCCTCGTTATATCGTGCTCAAGCTGTCGTACATACTCCAATTGCTATTGCGGTGACAAGGGAGTACTGTACCTATTCCTTGTGCACATTAATTACCCTCGCTATAACGTTATTGAAACCTCAAAACCTGGCAATAATACTTCCTCTGTTCCAGGTTACTGCCGACATTTCAAAATTCGCATGTTCCAAGTTACTGGCGACATTTGCATTTTATTGGCTGTAATTCTTCAATTTCTATCAATATCGAACATTTATGACATTTCATTGGCTTACAATTGCTTTAAGCGCTGATTATAAACCAATCTTTTGCGAAAATTCATGCAATTCCCTTTCAAAGTATCATTCGCCCAAATTGAGTGAGGGCTCGATTGCCTGTGTCAATTCAAAGTAAATGTCGGCAGTAACCTGAAACAGAGGAAGTATGTGGTTTGATTGGCCAATAAGAGGACATTTCAATGTATCATCGGATTGACCTTGTATTCTGATTTCTCGTTCGCAAAAATACGAAATATTATAATGGGTCATAAGGAACTGACCAATCAGAGCACGCCATGCGTGTTGACTGTGATATCATAACCCATTGCGATCATTCAGTACCATGGCTGCTGCTCCATGGACGGCGGGGGCGTTGTGGGTGAATCCTCGGATGCTTCTCTTGATTGGTGTGTGCTGTTGGTCAACGATGTTCCTCTTCGTCATGCGCGGCAACTGGTGCTCCATGGACGATGGCTATTTGCGCGTGGACCACCGCCTCCGCACGCATGGTGGTGGGTCGTCGTCGTCGTCATCCCGGGGCATTATCATGTGCCTGCACAACGGCATGGTGCCGATGGCTCTGTCCCTCGTGCAGGAGCTTCGGACTCTCGGGAACACGGATGCAATCCACATGTACCATTGCGGCGCCGACGAGATGACGCCGCTATCGAGGACGACCATCCTAGCCGTGGACCCGTCCGTCCAGTTCATCGACGTCTGCACCGACATGGTCGGGTCGGGGAAGCTCCGCGAGGATCAAGTGCCTTCCTTCCGAAGCTACTGGCTCAAACCGCTCGCGCTCATTCATACATCGTTGGACCATGTGATGCTCATGGACACGGACGTGATGGTGTTCCACGATCCCGCGCTTCTCTGGGATGTGCAAGGGTAAAAAGCTTCGATCAATATATATATATATATATATTGCACTTGAAATAATATATATATATCTATATTGATTTGTAGATACAAAGACACGGGGACGTTGTTCTTTCGAGACCGAGAAATCCTCATCCAAATGTTCCTCACGGATATTATCGAGTTCCCCGACCATTCGAAAAAGTAAGTGTGTTCCACTGTATATATATATATATTATTTTTTATATATTTTCCATTTGACTCGCTTTATCCACTACTTATTTCAACCAAATTCGATTTATTCGTACGTTAGATTGGCCTTGCATGCATTAATCGAGTCATTTGACTACGCCAAGTTCAATCTCGAGTACAATCCTTCGTCGTCGCTGCTCAATTCGCTGGCGTGGAAAGGGGAAGCAGCTCACGAACAAGACTCGTCGATCACTGTCATTCAAAAGTCCAAGGTAATATTTATCATTTCAGTCAAATTAGTGCGTTTTTTATATGATATTTCGCAGGCCCCACTCGCCATGGACGTGTTGTTCTACTTGGTCACTCAAGAAATTCACAAATATAGACCTATTTTCACACACGGAGATAAGGAACTGTTCTGGCTCGCTTACGAACTCAGTCATTTGCCGTACTTCTTTTCGCCGTGGGCAAATTCTGGCTCGGCGCGGCCTGGAGATATGCAAAACCATCCCAATACATTATGTGGTATTACTACTACAGCTACGTTATATACACGCTCCTTATTAGCTGATGTATGTATATAGCTCAACTACTTCGCTCAATGCTTGAAATTTTTGCTGTAGCTTATGGGTATCATCTACTTATTTAAATATATGATTATGCCTTTGTAATGTCTTTTTTCAAAAATATATTTGTATAGTTGAATGTATGACCCAACGACAGACGATATATATATATATATATATATTCGCTGTTGGGATTGACATGTATTTGGGTGGTACATACTATTATAGTAAGGGCCTTTTCCAGGTATATATTTTTAGCAAATGATTTTTTCTGCAAAAAAGAGGTAAATCGATTTATGCTATTTCTGAAAACTACTTGGAACTTCCCGTAATAGTTACTAGTATGCTTTTGGTTCATCCTGATGTCATTGCATATATATATATATATGTATCTCAACATATAGGAAAATAGTATATATATATATATATATCATGTGGGAATTTTAAAACAATAGACATTTCTAAAGTGATATCATTCCGAAGGAATCACCCATACCTACTGTATTGTCTTTTGTAGGGGACTTGGCGCAATGGGTTCCAGACGTGCACGCCATGCGTGTTGACTGTGATATCATAACCCATTGCGATCATTCAGTACCATGGCTGCTGCTCCATGGACGGCGGGGGCGTTGTGGGTGAATCCTCGGATGCTTCTCTTGATTGGTGTGTGCTGTTGGTCAACGATGTTCCTCTTCGTCATGCGCGGCAACTGGTGCTCCATGGACGATGGCTATTTGCGCGTGGACCACCGCCTCCGCACGCATGGTGGTGGGTCGTCGTCGTCGTCATCCCGGGGCATTATCATGTGCCTGCACAACGGCATGGTGCCGATGGCTCTGTCCCTCGTGCAGGAGCTTCGGACTCTCGGGAACACGGATGCAATCCACATGTACCATTGCGGCGCCGACGAGATGACGCCGCTATCGAGGACGACCATCCTAGCCGTGGACCCGTCCGTCCAGTTCATCGACGTCTGCACCGACATGGTCGGGTCGGGGAAGCTCCGCGAGGATCAAGTGCCTTCCTTCCGAAGCTACTGGCTCAAACCGCTCGCGCTCATTCATACATCGTTGGACCATGTGATGCTCATGGACACGGACGTGATGGTGTTCCACGATCCCGCGCTTCTCTGGGATGTGCAAGGGTAAAAAGCTTCGATCAATATATATATATATATATATATTGCACTTGAAATAATATATATATATCTATATTGATTTGTAGATACAAAGACACGGGGACGTTGTTCTTTCGAGACCGAGAAATCCTCATCCAAATGTTCCTCACGGATATTATCGAGTTCCCCGACCATTCGAAAAAGTAAGTGTGTTCCACTGTATATATATATATATGTATCTCAACATATAGGAAAATAGTATATATATATATCAATCATGTGGGAATTTTAAAACAATAGACATTTCTAAAGTGATATCATTCCGAAGGAATCACCCATACCTACTGTATTGTCTTTTGTAGGGGACTTGGCGCAATGGGTTCCAGACGTCCGTTTCCAACATGTGTTGCTCCACATCAACGGCGCGTACGAGTCCCGTTTGTTGTTTCAAACGCGTTTCAAACACTCGTTCCTTTAGATATGTGTTTAATCCGCACGCGAGTCACTTGGCCGCCATTCTGGACATGGAAGGCCGGCGCGAAAAGTTGCTGAGCAACTTGCCGACAAACGTGTCCGCCCAGCGGCGCCGATCCAAGGCCCTGGTGCGCGCACATGACCCTGATAACCTCTGGAATGACATTTGCCTATTTAATCGGGGGTCGGAGCCCATTCGTGAACAAGATGCGGCTGCCATGAGAAGGAAAATTAATAGCGCTGTGGACATCGCCATCGAGTTGGAAGCAGCTAAGAAAGAGATCGAAAGCAAAATCACCACGCCGCCAGCGATGTAAACTAACTATACAGAGCCAAACTCTGTATATCTTATATATACACTCGGAATCGAATATACTAAAGTTAGTAGTACTAGTGTGAATTATGGTTGATATAGTACTAGGACGGTGATTTTCAAGCGTGGGGACTAGTATTATTTGTCGTTGATCTGCACCTGAATCGACGATATACAACGACATCGTCGGAATATGATTATATAGTTCAATGGAATAATAATCTGTCCAATATGTATACAATTGGAGTGTTAAATTAACAGTACATTATTGGTCCAATATTTCCATTCAGGTACAGTAGTTGGATATACAATGCTAGTTCATCGTACATTTTGTATATAAATATATATTTTTCAATGTAATAATCTCAAATCAAACATATACCAGTATACAATATTGGATTCACTACATAAATTGGTCAATTTTACATGACATTTGTGAATTACGGTCTGATATTATTAGTTTCTGTAAAACAATGCACTGCCATCGTAAATATGGATAAAACAACTAACTATTAATAGTTACTACGTACTAGCTCGCTACAAGTCCATCTCGTGCGTCGACATTTAGTACATACGACTAGTTTTGAATTGTTACTCGTACTGTAATACAGTACGATTGCCAAGTCGAACAGTTGTTAGCCCCTTCGTCAACTGCACAGCTACTAACTACGCAAGGAACTAGTATATTCGATTATAACGTTATTACTAGTTAGTCTGAATCGTCGTCCAGGCAATTATAGTACACGTAAGAGTGGCCATGTTTGCACGTGTTAGCTGGCCTGTTGCAGCAAACGTTGTTGCGTAACGGCAGCTGCGACAGCGTTTTTTATCCGGATGCGAATGGCGGCGACATCCTGAGGTCTCATGGGCTCGGACCCGCGGTTCACAAGGCACTCTTGCGGCCAGAACCCCAGCGGATCCGTGTCATCTTCCGCTTTATTTAGCGCTTTCGACCGTGTCCGCCGCTTGGACACGAACGCCGGCACTTGGTCGAGCAGTTGCTTAGCACGTTCGTCCGGATCGGTCATCGACTGCATGTCGTTGTTCGAGTACGGGTTGAAAATGTACCTAAAAGCCGCCAAATATAATGATATATTGGCCTCACTCGAGGAGAAAAGAGTAGAATATATTGTGGACCATTGATTCGATACAAAGAATTTCCAACCCCCTTGGCCGAATCAAATCACGAATCATCGACGCTATGGGCGAAGCCAATTTTGATTGGCTCGAAAGGATAAGTCTATTCAACCAATCAAAAGTCCAGCGTGATGCAATATTGATTCGATAAACCACGCGAAGTTTGACTAATTATAGCGATATGTTCACCATACCACGCTGTTTTACATATTCGTAGAATCGACGCACTTCATAAGTACTGGTACAAACTACGTCGTCTTTTCAAAAATGAAATGTTTGTGTACGGCAACATATACTGTATATATATATATATATGTGATATATATAAATCATATATATATCATATATAAATATATATATATATACTGGTATACAGTATATATATCATAAATATATATATATATAGATAGATAAATATACTACACAAACCAACACCAAACAATTCAAATAATATGATTCGTACCCGCCATTGATGTGAAGCAGTTCACTTTTACCCGACACCAGCGGCATGAATTGCGCCAACCCGCCTACACATATAGGTTGGTCATATCATATACATTAAAATATAACTCTTGTAAATATTCAGTCATGAACAGTACCGCAAATGGTATCCGGGTGGTTCGCCATATTACCCGGCTTTTCCGCGCCCGTGTTGGCCCACGGCGAGAAAAAGTAGGGTTCCTGCGCAAGTTCGTACGCCATCCAGAACAATTCCTTGTCCCCATAACTAAACCCAATGCGATGGCGGTCATGTTGCAAGATCGTCCACAGCACAGTCATCGCTCGAGGGGCCTGTTTATCGATAGATAATAAATCATCTATTCTTAGCCTCATTCATCTATTCTTAGTCGTATTCATCTATTCTTAGCCTTATTCATGTACTACGAGTTGGAAGTACCTTGGACTTGTGCACGACGACAATGGACGAGTCCTGTTCATGGGCGGCATGTCCATGCCAAGCCAATGACGACAGCAAATGCGCCGACGGATTCTTCGTCAAGCCAACCCCAGCGTAGTTGAACGTGTCCACCAAAGCATGTAGATTGGTCCTACACATATGTAAATAATATTATTTAAGGGGTAATAAATGAAAGTGCACTCCCGACTGGTCGTTGTAATTCCCGTTTAAGTACTCGTGCTTGAGGATTTCGCGGTCGTAGAAGAAGATTGTGCCGGTGTCTTTGTATCTGCGGCCAGAGAGACATGAGAAGTGAGTCGAGAAGGAAGGATACGACGGGGGGATACCCTGGAACGTCAAAGAGTCGGGACGGGTTCTGGAAGACCAAATCGTCTGCGTCCATGAGGATCACCTCGTCGAGCCGCGTGTGCACCAGCGCCAGCGGCTTGAGCCAAAAGCTACGGTACCCGTTGACGTCTTGGTGTCGCAACTTGCCGAGGGCCTGCATCTCCACACACCCGTCAACGATCTCAATGTTCGAGTCGACGTCATGAAGCATGCGCTGAGAGATCGACGACAGCTCGCCGTTGCAATGGTACAACTGGATCACGTCCGTGTATCCGAGAGTGCGCAGCTCTTGGATCAAGGATACCGTCATGGGAATCATCGCGTCGAACAGGCAGATGAGGATGCCGCGCGACTTGGTCTTGATCCCGGTCGACGCCACGGTCTCGGCGCGGATATGGTACTTTGGGAGATGTTCGTTCATGAATGGCGAGATGTCGAGCATCGTCATGGAGAGCAACGTGGCAGACACGACGAATATCATCAGCACATACATCAAGGACCGCGAGGAAGGCACCCGCGAAGGTGACGGGCGGGAGGCGGCGGTCATCGCTCGACGTCTGTCTCAAACAAATGTCACAAGTTTATCACGAATCAAAACACAAATGTTTGAACGAAATCCGCGATGTTTTACTGCAGTTTGGGCGATAATAATATTACAATATGTGAATATAATTTATATGCGTCGAGCTCCCATTGGTCAACGTTTTAATACTTGTTCTTGATTGGCTATATTGTTCTTTCAACGAGATAAAAATGAATCATTTATTGTGAATTCGCATTTTACTTCCAAAATTCGCCTGGTTTGTCTAAGTTCACGTCGGAGTTCTGATTGGTTGAATATACTTGTCCTTTCTGCAAAAGCCAATCAAATCCACTAAAAAATGGATTAGCCAATAGCATCGATTCGAGATTCGATTCGGTGGCGAGGCTCGGTTCGTACCGGATCCATGTTCCAGAATGTATATTATTGTCAAATCGATTCGAAACTGGAGAATCGAAAGTCTAAAGAGAATGGATGAAAGACCTCCTAAGCCAATCAAATCACGATCTGGTATATTACAGCCAATCCAAACGTTTGACTCGACTCAAACTTATATATACTAATCTTTATATAGTATAGTTTGTACAAGCTTAAATTGGATCAAACGAATTCGAATGCATTTGGCGAAATGACTCACAAGTCCAAACTTGGGTGACATTCACAATACTCGTACGTATTAATAGTACTAAGTATGATCTACGTAGTACTAGTAGTGACTAGTACTTACTACCTCTATGATTGCGACTGACATGAAGAACCACACCTCCTCTACCTCCGATTTGCCCTGAGCATTTATTTCGTCGAATTTACTGCGTAGTTGATAAGTTTATATGTCCATGTTAAAATTTACTGTGTTAATGCTAACTGTTACTATGGTATTATGTTATTAATACGTACAGTAGTACTACAAAATCTAAGTTGATAATTTCCGACGACCAAATTTTGGCAATTGACATGCCAACGCCTTCAGTTGGCTCCACCCTACGGAGTAAATTCGTCCAATATATGACGTAGGTAGCGTTGTTGGCGTAAAGAGTGACTGTACACCTCATGTCGTTATACCGGTACTGCGGTTCGCAGCGAAAGCACAGCCCAGTTCAACACCGTTTGCAAAGTCAACGTCAAAATTGGTGGCTCGCCGCCGACTGGTCAGCATCCAGCGAGCTTGCAGTGCGTCAGGGTCAGCACGATAAACATGAGCCTGGCATTGTTCTGAACCTGGCCCACTGTAAACAGTCGTGTGTCGTTGAAGCTAGAGGGTTCGACATAGTGACTGTATCACTTGACTCAACGAGTTTGTGAACTTTGCAACGTCCTTGGGTGTGTATGTGAAGGCTCGAGTAGAAAATATCACGGATAACTTGCAAAACATTCTCGCGTCACATCATATCCGTCATCGTCGTGGGATTTCACCCGTATTATTTTTATTGTATTTTCAGATTCAAGAGTCTACATCGTATACTGAAAGCAAGATTGAAAGTGCTGTCGAATATCTTTTCACAGTCACAATCATTTTTGGGAGAAAACGAGTTTTGCTGTCCGCTTCAATGACACTTCCATTCGAACTACTAGTACATACTACTACTAGCAGAACACCAACGCGACTTTCATGCAATCACGACTTGTTTCCGTGTAAATATGGCCAGTATATTAAAGCATTTCATCTCGTCATAACACTTCGACGCGGCCGTGGCTTCGGCAAAAGTCAACGTGGGTCTTATTCCGTCGGAGCAGACGCAGCGTGTCGTCCATTTTCGCCGTCAAGTGCGCGAGCTGGGAGCACGTTCGGTCGGCATGGGTCCTTCTGGCCCTCATGATGGGCGTCCCTGCTTCTTCCACGTCATCGCCTTCGTCTTCGCTCTCATAAATATCAAAATGCGATTGCACCGTGGACCGAATGTCAATACCGCTGTACACTGACGCCTCGCCGTCATCATCATCAAACTCGTCATCGTGGGAATTGTAGTCAAGGTCTAGCATAGGCACGACCTTTGTCGGCGGAAGGTCCGTCGCGGCTGCATGTTGTTGGTGATGGCGGCGGGACGGAAGCGCTTGATTGACCTGCTGGCCTTCGCGGAGGGTCTGTGTGGCTTGTTGTGTGGTGCAAGTGATGTTATCTGGACGTGTGAGCGAGTGATGATCAGTTCGCAAACACTCTTCGCAGAACGGCCGCTTGGACGTGCGAATGTGCTGACCATATGACGGTTCCACGATACGCTTCCGTGCCATGTTGTTTGTGCGCTGGTGGCGCTGGCACAAGCTGCACGCGGACGACGATGACGATCCGTGGAACATGCCCGCAAAGGACCGAGACGGAGAAAGGCACCCGCCGGCATGTTGCCGCAGTTGCATGGACAATCGGACGGACTCGGCGATGTCGGCGGCGCGGGACAGCGCCAGCAAGTGGGGCAGCGAGCTGCCGCTGCCGTCGCGCATCCACGAAGACAGAGGCCCGCCCATGCATGCGTCGATGGAGCAGTGTGTGGTGACGAGGACGCATCCGATGGGCAGCTGCTTGAAGATGTGGCGGATGGACAGCTTGCCTCGCACGATCGAGAGCGCGTCCAACGACTGGCAGTGCGCCAAGTCGAACGATTCCATGAGACAGTACCCAAAGGTCGTGTCGTCGGTGTTGTTGTTGGTAGTACTAGTAGTAATACTAGATGTACTGACGCCCGTGGCTTCAAAGTAGCAAAAGTCGCGCGGTTTGCTTAATGTGCGCCCGGGCCAGTTGGTCGCACACCACTTCAACCCTCGAAAGTAATACGGGTGGTGGGGATGGGTCGAGCTAGTGGTGTCGATCGCGTGGAGGATTTCGCAGTCCAGGTGATCTTTTGGCATACTGAGTGCCGACTGCATTTGAAACATGGCGGTTGTGTCAGCATACACGCTCGTCATGACGTCGTCCAGCGAGCCTTGGACGATACCCGTCATCATGAGGTCTGCGGAAGGACTGCCGTTGGCTGGTTTAGCGGCTTTGTACAGTTTGAGGCCGTGGTGGCTGCGCACGTGTTTCCAGTAGTCGTTGTGGTCTTGGTCCATGTTGAATGTCGTCGAAAGGAGCTCCGTTTCCTCCACCGCCTGGTCCAGCAGTCCCGTGGCGAGCCGACGAAAGTGCTCCTTTTGAACGCTGGTCAAGGCTGGCAGCCGGAAGCGCGTGTGGTGCACGGGAGATGCTGGCATGATCGAGGTCATTCGCGAAATGGAATAATCGCAGGTCTTGGTGATGGATCAACGATCTGGGACGTACCACAGATCATCCACCATGTCATTGGCAGGAGGGAGATCCGACGGCGCAATCCTACACATAAACGGACCAATCACAAGCGTCTGGGACACGTCACTTGCACGCGATTGGACAAGAGCCCAGGTCCGAATCGACGCAGTTTTCACTGACAACAACACCAAGTGAATGGTCAGGACCAATACGTATGGTAGTACTCGTCTGATTGTCCGACGACGACTTGATCTTTCATGGATACTACTACTGTACCACTAGATGCGACTGGGCAGATGTTGGGGGGAGTGATGCTACTGATAGTCAGTCCAAGCCTGTCAAGCCATCTGTACTGTAACGAAAACGACATCGTCCCCAAACGTAACATGGAAGCACTTTGCAGATAAGTTGGTGCGATCTTCTACTATTAATACTAAGTTACTAGTTCAATACGACTTAGTATTAATATTAATAGTAGTATGCACCGGTCAATCGACCATCCATGCATTACTACACTTCTTCATGTGCGTTTACCTCATGTGGGGACGGACATTCGTTACTAGTACTAGTAGGTAGTAGCAATTTAAGATAACTTTTTTGGAGGCGTCGGAGTAGTACTACGTAGTACTAGCTGTCATCGAATCATGACAGTTCAAGTTGACGGTACGAAGTAGTAGTGGTAGTAAGTTAGTACCTCAAAGTACGAAGTCCTCTGAAGTAACTTAGTATCATGGGTTCGAACGAGGCAATTGACTGACGAAGTGCCCTTGGCGCATCTATTGACTGCGAAATGTGCTTGAATGGCCAAGTGTGTGAGTGACCCAATAATTGGTTGAGTGGTCTAGTTGTACAGTATAAGTCACAATGTAAAGCTTTAATAAGCTGAGATGCGCAAGGAGCTTTCCGGAGGCTGCTGTCGTGGCCAATCATATCGAGGTCAAATGAATATAACGTGTTTGATTGGTTAATTATTGTGCAAGTTTGAGCTCATCTGCCAATGGCATCCGTCCGTTCACCTTCGTTGGCTTGACTGGAATGCAAGATCAATCATTTATTCTCGGCTGACGGCTTTATGGTGGATGGCTGGCTGTCCAATGTGTTTCAAGCGACAGTTGCACGGCGTGGGTCGAATCCTGATAGCGGCAGCTCCTTTCGCCACGTGTTGGCGCTGCCGCCTATCGCCGTTTATGCATCCTTGTAATTGTGAGATGACACTCGGAAGCGTTGCTTCTTCACAATGATCTATGATACCGATATTTCAGCGTTCAACTTCCTTGTGTATACAGTAGTAACGTTATGTGGAATTGGTCAAGGGGTACATTGAATTGTTGGTGTAATTTCAGCGAATGTGTGGAAGGTTCAAAGGGGGGCGGCCCTGGCTGGAGTAAACATATGCATGGCGAAACAGTTCATCAAACGCGCACCTTACGCTTCTACGGGGGTACAGGTTTTTGTATGGCAACTGTCGATACAATTGTGCTAAGGTAGATGCGGTTGTGTATTGAATGGTCGCATGATAGTTTACTCTGCGTACTCTCCATGGCATAGTGCCTCTAGCTAGAGGTAGCAGTATTTTGGGCTTGGAGGCTAATGTCTTACTGCGACAGACGTCGTTCAGTGTTCCATCCTCTGTGAGATGGCAAAGCAGCAATGTTGGACGTAAATACATTCAAGTTGGCGCACATAGTTGCTGGGCACCCTTCCATGACGTTGTCAGGAATGGTACAAAAATATATGGTCACTTGAATACAGCAAGTAGGGAGAAATGCAGGAGATATGTCTCCTGAGTGATGGAGACGGCAACAAGGGAGTCGATTCCGTCTACGTCAACCGCGGAAGTATTGTCAAGCACGTGGATGCTTCGCATGCATGATGTGTTACAACGGCACCACCATGGATGGCCACGACTTGGAAACTCCTTTGCATCTCCATCGGCGTGAGGTTGAAGATTGCAAAAGTACCAGCCAATCAGAACGCTTCATAGATCGCTTGGAATAATAATATCCGTAATGAATATATACTCATACAAAGTAGAAGCTATCATGTCCTATATTTATTAAATAGTGTGCGAATCGCTGAAAATGTGCAAAAAGGGCATTCCGAGGATCGTTATGTGGCGCGTTTCCAACGTCCGCAGGGCGGCGGTGCCGCGAATGATACCACGTCATCTAAGCAGGTCCGATGAATATTATGCACACATGTATCTGACTTCTTGACGAGGGCACTTACCCTTTATGCGTGATTCCTAGCGTCGGCACCCCAGCATCAACGCAAAATGCCCCCGATTCGTCCGACGTATGTGTATCGAGTGCATGTACATCAACAAACCAATACAATGTGTATGTGCAGGTGGTCGTGATCGGAGGCGGCGTTGTGGGCACGAGCATCGCGTACCATTTGGCAAAGTATGGCGCGAAGAACGTCGTGTTGCTCGAAAAAACCGAGTTGACAGCGGGGTCGACGTGGCACGCGGCAGGCCTTGTGACGTATTTCAACCCGGGCATCAACTTGAAAAAGTTCCACAACTACAGCTTGAACTTGTACAAGACTCTCGAAGCCGAAACTGGGCAGGTACGTACCACGCACTCGCGGGACCGACATATACGAGATACACTGTGGGTCGACGTAGAATGTAGGATTGCATACTCCTGGGAGCATCCGCATCTGCACGACATCCGCTCGCATGGACGAAGCCAAGTACTGTACCATGGCCATCGCATTCCCGTCCTTTCTTCATACCATGCTTAGGTTCCAGCAAAGTCGTCAGAATTGGCACGAAGCGTTCCAAGCGCTTATTTCTCCGGACGAGATCGCGGCGAAGCATCCGCTTTTGAACATGGACGGGATCTTGGGCGGCATTTACTCCAAGGGCGACGGCTACATTGACCCGTACAGGTATCATCTTCATAAAGGAATTCCTCGTAGCTCACGATAACGACATTTGAACCATGTTTCCCCCTTGTGTGTGGTTCTCGTACTTTACGAGATTTCGCTCGTGTGGTGGTCGTTCTTTTCTATTATATTTCGTTCTTTTACCCTACATTTGGACTTTTATGCTGCTGCGTCGCCAAATCTATCCATCGATCGATTCTTTGTCCTGACATGTGAGTTTAATATGCAAAAAACGTTGTCCTGTGGTGATAGTGTAATCACACTAATTTTAAGTCACACACTAATTCGAGGTTGGGATGATGCTGTCCTGCAATCTGATTGGCTATTTCGTTCTTGCTGTACATTTATGTGGCTACGTTGTTCGATTCTCCATATCACTCCAATGTAAACATAACAGTTTTGTTAATGTGTGAAAACGGAGCCCCCATTTAATATGAACGTTGGGTTGGAATTAATACTCATACAAAGAGGTTTCCAGATCCCGTCAAATCGAATGATCTTGCCGCCGAATCGAATCACGAATATTGACGCTATTGGCTAATATTCATTTTTGAGTGGATTTGATTGGCTCAGCTTACAGAAAGGACAAGTATATTCAACCAATCAGAACTCCGGCGTGATAAATCAATATTGATTAACGTTAGATAAACCACGCGAATTTTAAAAGTGTACAGCGAATTCACAATATATATATATATATATATATGTATAGCCAGATTTGGACTTGTGAGTTGTTATTTCGCCAAATAGCTTTCGAATCCATTTAAACTTGTACAAACTATACTCTACGAAAATAGTATATATATATATATATATGGTTTTGCCTCATGCGGCCGAGTCAAACGTTTGGATTGGCTGTAATGTGATTTGATTGGCTTTGGCGGTTCTTTAATCCATTCTCTTATTCTGCTGAGGGCTCCAGTTTCGAATCGATTTGATATATATATCATAAGTACAAACGCAATAATGTATCGTGGTAGTGTGACCATGGCCCTGGCCCAAGGCGCCAAGCTTCATGGCGCGCACATCTGTCAGCATTTGCCTGCTTTGGACCTGTCGGAACAGTCGGACGGGTCGTGGCATGTGTCGACGGCCAAAGGCACGATTCACGCCAACACTGTACGTTCGTCCACTTTATGTTTTCTACACGTTTGAAACACTTGGCCATTTATTCTGCTCTGGTTTCACGTACTCCTTTTTAGATTGTCAATTGCACGGGGTTTTGGGGCCGCGAGCTGCTCCAGGGATGGCTCAACGTGGACTTGCCCCTTGTGACCATCGAGCATCAATATGTGATCACCAACTCGATCGCCCAAGTGGCCGCAAGAGGCAACGACCAACTGCCCGTGATTCGCGACCTGGAAGCGTCCTACTACCTCCGCCAAGAACGCACGGGGATGCTCGTCGGGCCATACGAAGCGGTAAGCATGGTGGAGACTGCACAAGTATATATATAAATAGAAAACCTGTTGAATGGGGTATTTGAGCATATATGTATATAAGATGGCGTTTCTGTGAACCTGTTATATACGGGGTATGTATGCAAAAGGAGGGATTGTATGAAATACACGCTATCATGAATGATTGTATTGATTTATACAGATGTAATAGTATAACATTCTACGACACCTACTGCACTACACTGGGAGGATACTGCACTACTTACTTCCTACCAACAAGGCGTATTTTCGTCTTGGAATGGTTCATATATATATATAATTCGAGCGCCTCATCCGGCCGAAGTACAATATATATATAATGGATTGTTTTGGATAAATCAACGTCATCCTTCGTGGGTTATTACTGTTATTGTACATGCTACTGTAGGGAACCGACATGAAAGTGCGCACGGACTGGCAGTCGAACGGCGTGCCAAGTGAGTTCGGCAAGGAATTGTTTGCCCCAGACGTCGACCGCCTCCTTCCGCACCTCGAAGCCGCCATGCATCGCATGCCAGTCCTCGAAGAAGCAGGTACACGACTCAACTATACACATTTCATACTGTTGATATATATATATATTGATCCCAAGCTCTGTCATTGAAGTACATGCGGCGGCTACGTCCTTGCCATTGTATATACTTTTTTTTTATCAGAAATTACATATATATATATTTGCTCTGAAGTGTACACTCGTGTATACGATACTAACACACGTCCTAGAAAACGTAAGAATTGTTGGATATATATATAAATAATATCTAGGCATCCAAAACGTCACGTGCGGCCCCATCTGTTATGCGCCGGACGCGCTACCCCTCGTGGGGTATTTGCCCCACCGTCGGTTGAGAAATGTGTTTATCGCAACCGGCATGTCATATGGCATCGCGCACGGCGGCGGGTGTGGCGACTACGTGGCCAAGTGGATTTTACATGGAGAACCCCCGTATGACTTGACCGAGATCGACCCCGCCCGGTACGAATCCTAAAGTACACTGTGCTGCTGTCTATCTCGATAATGCTAGTGTGTGACATTTACTCAGTGAAAATGTTACTTAGCTCACTGAGCTGTCATGTACTGTACGTGGGATACGTGCATGGTCGAGGTTGGTTGAGGTTGGTTGAGATTTGAAATGAAGAGGTTGCCTAGCTGGTATAGTTTGTGAAATATAAATATATTACTAGTAATTATTATAGTTTGTGAAATATATGAATTATTATCCGACCCTTGCACATTGATGGTCGTGTCAAACTACGTCCTGCATCCGTCTTAGGATGTTGCATCGTGTTGTTTGTGTTTTGGTTTGAATCGTCGTTTGTATATATATATATAAGTATAATCCTAAGCTTGGATCTAGGGGTGTATATATATATTATATATTATATATATATATATATTGTCTTTATCATGCAAACTTGGCCTATGGGAGATATCGACGAGAATCACCGTATGTTGAATCCAATGTATACAATGCAAAACCTATTGATACAATGAGATCAATCGTGGGTAGATATGGAGCGTGGGCCACGCCGGCGTTCACGGCCGCAAAAGCGCGGGAAAGCTACGGGGATAATAACTTGATTTCGCATCCGATACTAGACAAGCAGGCGGGTCGCCCGACGAGTCGCGTCTCACGTTTGTACGAGACGCTGGCCCAACACGGCGCGCAGTTTGGCTTGCACTCGGGATGGGAAGTGCCTCACTGGTTTGCCACGTCCGACGCTGAGATCGGTACGAGTTTTAAAAAGAGAGAACATATAAAGGCTACTGGTGTCAATACTGTTATGATATTACTGTTTGTGATTCGGTTTTGACAGGTATATATATATATATATATGCATTGTCAAGTGGATTCCGAAAGAAGTGAAGTGAGGAGCTAGCTGCTCAATAGAAGGACCAATAATACAGACAATCGACCAATCAAAACCCTAAACAATTTCAAGTATCCAATCAAATCCTCGCTAATATATATATATATCCATCGAATGAGGGTATGTGCCGTCATATACTAGTGGGAATACCTGCCCAAAATTCAGTTCAAAATCCCCACCAGTCCACAATACTATCTAAATTTTGGTTGTCCACATATATATATATTGCGATTTCAGCCAAACATTCTCCACACACATATATATATGTGGACAACGGAGCATATACAGTATGTATAACTTTGTTGTAGGCCATGAACCGAGCTACTTTCGAAGCAATTCGTTTGGGCCGACGAAACGGGAATGCGACGCCGTGATGGAGCGCGTGGGGCTCACGGACTTGAGTTCGTTTGCCACGTTTCAAGTCCACGGACCGTCGGCGCGCGCGTTCTTGGAGCTCATGTGTGCCAACTCCGTGCCCAAAGTACGTCAGAAAAATAAATATATAATGTCGTCAGGGGCGTGATTGTATAGTAATATAAATATTATACATATATATAATATTTATTTATATTGGTAGGGCATGGGAGTAAACTATGCCCTTGATGCATTGGGGATGATGTAGCGAGCGTCTTGTTTTTTGTATGTGTTGTCCGTTTTTCGCACGATGCAATACCACTTGAGCACAATTTATTTCATTCTTCGTATTGTTTGTGAATATATATATATATATGGAGAATGTTTGAGCACAATACTTGTATATATATCGAGTTGAGGTGGTTCCATTGAATATTATAATGACATGATTGTATGCACGCATTATAATATGTCATGGCTCAATGTGCTTTACAGTGTGTTGTGGACTTACATATTGTAAACAAACATGGACTTATTTGTAAGGTCGGCGCATCGATCCGGATTTGCCACCTCTGCACCCCCCTCGGCAAAGTCCTGGGCGAGCTCACTGTGACAGCGTTAACAGACGAGTCGTTTTACGTGGTCACGGGCGCTGGCACCGAGCTGCACGACTTGCGGTAGTTCTTCGCATATATATATATTTGATATTTTTTGATATTACTCCTTTTATTCAAAATATGGTTGACATCCTTTGCCAAATCCATCGATCGATTTTCTATGTACTCAACTTGAATGTCAAAAAGGTGTCCTTACCGGCGATTGGTATCCTCACACTAATTGAAGTCACACTCTAATTTAACGTTGATGATGGTTTCCTGCAATCTAATTGGCTCAATTCTCCTGTACGTTGAGTCGATGATTCATTCTCCATGTCGCTCCAGTTTAGAATCAGCACAGTAACAATACGTCGTTGTGGACAGTATATATATATTGCGTGGATGACCCCCCAATTAGTGTAGATATGTCTTATTTATCGTTATCAAGTATGGTTATTTTAGAAATAGGAGAGATAATTTGTTGATATTAGATGGTTGGATACGCATGCCGATGCATTTCGTGACGTTGAGATCGTCAACACGTCAGACACCACGGGGGTGCTGGGGCTCGCGGGCCCCCGCGCCGCGGCCGTGCTGGCGGCGGCCACCCCGCCCGAACATTTGACGTTTCCATATATGAAGCTCCAGCACACGACTATCCAAGGCATCGACGTGCGCGTTTTGGGGTTGAGTTTCACAGGCGAAGCAGGGTACATTATCATCACCTCATATATATACACTCTTGGTTTGGGTTGTAGATCTATCTATATATATATATAAATACCACATAGTGGATTAGAGACTTATTATTGTATATATATATATATATACCATATAGTGGATTAGAGA